TATATATAGGCCTAACAAACATATGGAAAAAGACCCTAAGACCAGGAACATTATTAAAGATATGAATGCTTATCTTTGTATTGTTTTGTCAAATGCTTTGCCTCTAAAATGGTATGAAACTCCCACTACTTTCCAAGGGATAAAATCAAATTCTTATTTTTTCCTGTTGAGATCACGTTTCGCATTGAAGTATGTCAGAAAACTGAGGTAAAATGGGTTTTCAGCAGTTCATTTCAGGATGGTTTCATGAATTTTATGCTGTCTCTTAATACACCCTGCATACTTTCCCATCACCAGTGCATAGTAGAAATATATAAACTCGGATGCAGCTTATCATACTTCCCCATGAATTTATGCACATTTTTAGTTTATTTATGACTGCTTATTTTTATCTGTTTCTTCTTGCCACAGAGGAAAGCAGCCCGGCGTCCGTCCGTAACAGAAGACCGAAACCTCATTGGTGCGAACCGGATGACCCGTTAATGGAATCCTGGGACTCGTTGACGAAGTTTAACCAGTGTCAGCGAGGGCGGATCTCCAACATGGGGCTGGAGGGAGATATTTTCGACGAATTTGTTCACCGTCAGTCCCGTCCGACACCCGTCTCCAATATATATTTAGCAAAAAAATGTGAAAGTTTTTATTAGTATTTTTTTAACTCTGCATCATTAAATTTGGTGATTTTAGGCCTTATTTGCAAATCAGTAGAGCAGATTTTTTAAAAGATGCAAAAGCTGTGTAATTGATAATTAAATATTTAATGTTAACTTGAACTTCATCATGGTTTCATTTTATTCAGCACTGGATCAGTTTGGCGATACTATCCTGTTCACCACGGATGATGACATCCTGGAGGCCATGGCGCAGTATGATGACACGTTTGGGAGTGAGATGGAGATGGGCGGGCCGGGCGTGGAGGAAGAGGAGCTGCAGCGGCCGCGGACGGCAGACGGTGAAGGAGAGGAGAGGCCGTTCACACAGGCTGGGTTCAGGAAGGAGGACACGCACACCCACGTATGTGATGCTGCTTTTAAAGCACTCATATTGTAGATATTTTGGGCTTAATGTAAAAGTGAGATTTTTTATTAAAGAAATTTCGAGGATGCATTAAATTGATCAAAAGTGACAGTAAAGACGTTTATAATATTCCAAAAGATTCTACTTCAAGTAAATGCTGTTCTTTTGAACTTTCTATTCATCAAAGAATCCTGAAAAAAAATTTCCACAAAACATTAAGCAGCAAAAACAGTTTTTAACATTGATAATAATCAGAAATGTTTCTTGAGCAGCAAATCAGCATATTAGAATGATTTCTGAAGATCATGTGACACTGAAGACTGGAATAATGATGCTGTTGTATGAAACCATATACTTGACATTATGAATGAAGAAAATAAAATATTGTATAAAAAAATAAATATTGTTATAAATATATAAATGAGCCCTATGTAAAATTCTGCTCTTGTTTTTATGCATTATTGAGGTCAAACAATATGTGAATATGAATCATGGGATGTGTTTTGCTTCAGATGGATCTGGACCACATCTCTGCAGCTGAACTGTGTGCTGATACTGGAGAGGAAACAACAGGACTTTATACTGGCAGTAGTGAGTATCAATAAATCACAAAACTAAGTAGATGTGTGTGTATATATATATATATATATATATATATATATATATATATATATGTATATATAATTAATTATATAATTATATTTTTTTAAATATATAAATATATTAAATATATTCATCATGTAAATAGCATTTTAATTAATTAACACAAAATGCAGTTTCATGTCTCTTGGTAATATTTCATGCATTTTCTGTAAAGCTGCTTTGGAATGATGTGTAATGTAAAAAGTGCTGCACAAATAAACATAAATCGAATTGAATATTTGAACTGTTTCTCTCTAGTTCTGCAGCTGAATCTGCTGTCGTCGTGGTCGTTGGTAAGGGCGGGGAGAGTATTCCTGTTGATGTCTCTATGGCAACAGCATCACCCCGTGACCTCAACGACCTCCCTGAGAACAGCAACGACCTTCGAACTCTGGACAAGTCAGTGAAAGATACGTTCTGTATATGAGAATTGAGATGGAGCTGGTTTTGGGGTTTCTAAATCCTGTTTTCTTCCTCTTTCAGGTTGTTTGATGGGATGAACATCACCACAGATGATAAACACATGTGGCTGATTCCCTTCACGTCCGGTTCTGATCACACACTCACTGTACGGTTCGGCCAGCCGCAGACGATCGCCGGATTCAGAATATGGAACTACAACAAATCGCCTGAAGACTCTTACAGAGGGGTGAGAGCGAAATCTGGGCTCTGTTTTTCTGGAATGGATCTTTTCAATTCAACAGGTGTGTTCACTAGTGTTTTTCAGCACACACACCTCATGTGCCGTGTGTTTCCTCCAGTTGAAGGTTGTGCATGTGTTCCTGGACAGCGTGTGTATTTCTCCAATCGGGGGGTTTCTCATTCGCAAGGGTCCGGGGAATTGCCACTTTGACTTCGCACAGGAGATTCTGTTCATAGACTACATACAGTCCAACACGAGCACTGCCGCCCATAACAGATCACTCACTACGACCAGCAAAAACACAGAGAACGCGCACGCTCACTGGTACAGCACCCTGTTGATATTATTACAGTCATCAACCTTGACTCCACATACTTTCTCTCGTCTTGAGGGATGAAGTTGTTTGTGTGTGTTTTCAGGGGTGGGAACCGGAGAGATGAGTTGGCCAGTATGGACTATGAGGCTCCATTGATGCCATGCGGATGTATCCTCACTTTTGCTTACTATACGGTTCATTACAAATATCAATTTCTTACATTGTGTGTCCTGACGATACAGTCTTTAAATATGCTGTTGACTCATGTGTTAACACAAATTCAACTGAACACTAGTAACATTATTAGTCATAAATGTATTGTCAGATTTCAGTTATCTATTAAAATAGATTATTTTATCCATTAAAAGAAAATAGCTTAAAAACCACCTGTATGTTTAATTTTTAGCCTTTATTAGATAAAATAATCTACTTCATTAGATAATTCCCTGTGAGATCAGACAAATAAGACATATTTATGTGTGTGTGTGTATTTCATTCATTCTTTCATTTATTTATTTCAAAATAAAAAAAAAAATGTATTATCTTACTATAGATAGAGGATAGATTAAAAAAATCTGAATTATTTAAAAAAAAAAAGTATGATACAGATAAAAAATAAAGATGATCTAAATTGATTATTTCAAATAAATATTCATGATTTATTTTAGAAATTATTAGTGCTGTCAAACGATTAATCGCGATTAATCGCATCCAAAATAAAAGTTTTTGTTTACATAATATATGTGTGTACTGTGTATATTTATTATCTACATATAAATACACACACATGTATGTATATATTTAAGAAAAATATGTTACGAAATTATACATAAATAAAATATTACAAATAATTAAAAATAAATATAAAAATTTAAAATAATATAACAATTATAATATACTTGAATTACTTTTTGCCATAATTGCCAATGTATAGCTGATACATTTGATCAAACATTGGCAAGTATGTAACAATTCAGCAAAGCATTACAAAAGTTCCATTCTTTCATTGATCCACGAATTGTGATAATTTCGGTGTGTGTTTGAGATCATCTGAGTTTTTCCTTGACTGATTTTGTGTCAGTTATCTTCCAGCTGCAGTTGTTGACGACGTGGGGCGACCCGTACTACATCGGCCTTAATGGACTGGAGTTCTATGACCAGAATGACCAGAAGATCCCGCTCAGTGACAACAGTATCCTTATGAGTATGTATATATTTAAGAAAAATATGTTACGTTTATATATTAAATGTATTTATATATGATAAATTATATGAATATAAATATATACATGTAAATACAGGTAAATATTTTCAACATTTATGCTGTATACGTGTGTATTTATATATACATAATAAATATACACTACACGCATATATTATGTAAACAAAAACTTTTATTTTGGATGCAATTAATCACGATTAATCATTTGACAGCACTAGAAATTATACATAAATAAAATATTACAAATAATTAAAAATAAATATAAAAATTTAAAATAATATAACAATTATAATATACTTGAATTACTTTTCTATTTTTTATCTGTATAATAAAATAATCTAAATTGATTTTCAAATAAATATTCATGATTTATTTTATATATATATATATATATATATTCGAAATAATCTATTTAGATTGTAGTATGTCTGTAGATAGACGTTCAATAGATTCAAAAATCTTTTTCCCATTGATCCATGAATTTCGATCTTATCCGTGTGTGTTTGAGATTATCATATCTGTCAGGTTTTTCCTTGACTGATTGTGTGTCAGTTATCTTCCAGTTGCAGTTGTTGACGACGTGGGGCGACCCGTACTACATCGGCCTTAATGGACTGGAGTTCTATGACCAGAATGACCAGAAGATCCCGCTCAGTGACAACAGTATCCTTATGAGCACACGCACACAGAGCGATCAATCAAGGATCCACACACACAGCACTCAGCAAGACTGAGACACTTTACAGCTCAAAGCATTTTCTTTCATTTGTCACACAGACATCGCTGCGTTCCCTGACAGCGTGAATGTGTTAGATAACGTGTGTGGTGACGTCCGCACACCTGATAAACTGATAGATGGGGTCAATAACACACATGACGGGCAACACATGTGGCTCGCACCAGTGCTGCCTGGGCTGGTGAGGACAAACTGTGTGTGTGATTGTGTGACCGTGGGTTTATCAGCTAAGCTCCACCCCCTGATTACTGTTGTAACTCCAAACAAGCTTTACAGAAGAAAATCCCATAGGAATCATCAGGACGTTTCCATAAACAGTGTGATTTTCAATAAAACGTGCTCCTCAGGTGGTCAGAATTTGATCTTATTGTTGCATCTTTTCCAGGTGAACCGTGTCTATGTCATCTTTGACCAGCCAATGACAGTCTCCATGATTAAATTGTGGAACTATTCCAAAACACCTCAGCGAGGAGTCAAGGAATTTGGGGTAAAACACACACATGCACACAAATGAGTGTGTCATTTAAATATTTTACTGCAAAATGCTTGTAATATGCACTTCCATTCAAAGGTTTGGGATCGGTTTTAAGGTTTTTGAAAGACTCTTCTGCTCACCAAGCCTGCATTTATTTGATCAATAATACATTAAAAACAGAAATATTGTGAAATATTTTTACAATTGAAAATAACTGTTTTCCGTTTGAATATATTGTAAAATATAATTTATTTCTGTGATCAAAGCTAAATTTTCAGCATCATTACTCCAGTCTTCAGTGTCACATGATCTTCAGAAATCATTCTAATAAGCTGATTTGCTGCTCAAGAAACATTTCTGATTATTATCAATGTTGAAAACAGGATTATTTGAATAACGTTTAAAAGAACAGCATTTATTTGAAATAAAAAAAATGTTATCCTTACTGTCACTTTTGATCTCTTTAATGCATCCTTGCTAAATAAAAGTATCTAAGATCATCACACAGAATTATGTGGTATGCTTGTCAAATGTAAGAATTCAGTGTTTCATTCTCCTGTCTTTCTGTATCGGATGACCTTTGTGTGTTTGTGTGTTTAGCTCCTAGTCGATGACCTGTTAGTGTATAACGGGATTTTAGAGTGTGTGAAGAATGTTTCGCGGGGAATTCTGCCAACCCTGGATCCTGTTGTTCCTTACCACACCATACAGTTCACAGACAACACGCAAATCACACACCGGGAGAAGAGCACTATTATCAGGTACACACACTGCATTTGATATTTCTGTGGTGCTTTTTTGTTTAAAGCAATTTGAGCAACTTTTTTTTTCAGAAATGTGGGTTTTTCTATTGCATCAGGCAGGAAAAAAAACTTTTTTGTAAGCTCTGTTTTTAAGATAAATTAAACACCCACGTAAATGCATTAAACACACACACACACAGCTGAATGTGAGCACTCAATGCCAAACCCAGACAAAACACACACGCACAACTGCTGTTGACTGACTCATTGTTTGGCCTGATCGCTCTCTCTCACGCCCTGGGCGTGATGCTAAACAGACTAGACGGACGCTTGAGAAACAGGAGGGTGTGTGTGTGTGTGTTTAATGAGCTGTATGAGAAGCTATGATCACTCTTATCTTCATCCATCTAGCCTACGGTTCACATTCAGGCTGCATTTTTGCCCCATGATGCATTTTTATTCATGTAAACAAGTGTCAGTGTCAGTGAAACTCATTGAGGAAATGTCTGTCGTTAAGCTCTATTTTTAAGATAAATTAAACACCCACGTAAATGCATTAAACACACACACACAGCTGAATGTGAGCACTCAATGCCAAACCCAGACAAAACACACACGCACAACTGCTGTTGACTGACTCATTGTTTGGCCTGATCGCTCTCTCTCACGCCCTGGGCGTGATGCTAAACAGACTAGACGATGACTTGAGAAACAGGAGGGTGTGTGTGTGTGTGTTTAATGAGCTGTATGAGAAGCTATGATCACTCTTATCTTCATCCATCTAGCCTACGGTTCACATTCAGGCTGCATTTTTGCCCCATGATGCATTTTTATTCATGTAAACAAGTGTCAGTGTCAGTGAAACTCATTGAGGAAATGTCTGTCGTTAAAGCAACCATGTGGAGGACCAGGATGTGAAATTGACCAATGAGAATAAAATCATTCACCAGCACAAGAAGAAACAGACAGCTGACCCAGGTGCTCACAAGCATCACACACACGTTTAATTAGCTTAATTAGTTGTTTTATGTGAAGCTAATATAAGCACTACCTTCTAAGCCTACCACAGAAAACTTGCCTGTTTACAAATTAAAAACAATGTTTTATTTGCAGCTCTGCGGCCCAAAACCTGCATGACGGACGTACGGAAACACGGAAAGCAGCGATACTGAGAGAAGACGGCAGGGTTCAGGGATTTTGAAAGCAGGTTTTTTTTTCTTTTTCCCCTTTGGGAATATTTGGAAAACTCAGTAACCTCAACACACACACACACAAACTGTATGATAAAGCTGTGTGTTTGTTTTTGCTATGAGGTTGTTGTATTATATATTTTATTTTTTTTTTATTTTTTTTTTTAAGTAAGTGTCCTTTGACCATGTCATGTGATTCTGGATGGAAGTTAATGCACACCAGTACATTTCTTTTTTCATGTCAGATTCACTTGTGATAATCAGAATTTGTAGCTTGTATGTCCTACAGCCATATTTAAACAGTCTAATTGTCGAATATATTGGTAACATTAAGTGTTTACAATATTTCAGATTTACACAGTTTCTAAGTCTTTCACAGTTCTTTCAAAACACTTTTACAAATATTATGCAAACACTGCCAGTTTACCTCATATTAAAGCCACTGTAATTATTATTAAATATCACCTATCTCTTTATTGATTGTCACTATTTTTATTTGAGTATGCAATTTTATATGCAACTTTACCTTGAAAGAAAACTTCTTAGAAATGGTCATTATTATAATGGGGTTCAATGCTACTAAGTGTTGCAGAAATCATTTACAGCAGCATAAACTGAGATTGAGGTTTGTATTATCATCATAGCTACAGATTTGATTGCTGACTAATCCTAATCCTTGAGCAAACTGGACCTTCAGTGGTGATTTTTTTTTTTATCACAGTTTTCATCAAGAGCTTAATTCTAATAGTTCTAGCGGTTGCTGTGATTTGTTGATCATAATAAGAGTGATCTTGTGTCATTCAGTCTCAAAATATTTACGAGTAAAGTTGAAAAATGTTTGGATTTACGACTTGCAATGTAAAGCCTAAAAATGAAAATTTGCTGAAAATTTACTCCCTTTCAGTCCATCCAAGATGTAGATGAGTTTGTTTCTTTATGAGAACAGATCTGGAGAAATGTAGCATTGCATCACTTGATCACCAATGGATGCTCTGCAGTGAATGGGTGCCGTCAGAATGAGAGTCCAAACAGCTGATAAAAACATCACAATAATCCACACCACTCCAGTCCATCAGTTAATGTCTTGAGAACTAAAAAGCTGCATGTTTGTAAGAAACAAAACCTAAAATAATATTTGCTTATTCCAGTGAAAAAGTCATTTCTGGAATCAGGAGAGAAACTTTTTGACTGGAGGAAGCGGGATTATAGACTTATTAGCATTATTATGGATGATGTATTTTGGCCAGATGAGACGGTTTAAAGTTACATTTTAATGGATTTGTTTCTTACAAACATGCATCTTTTGGTTTCACAAGGATTGCTTCTGGATTATTGTGATGTTTTTATCAGCTGTTTGGACTCTCATTCTGACGGCACCCATTCACTGGTGGGCAAGTGATGGAATGTTAAATTCCTCCAAATTTGTTCCCATGAAGAAACAAACTCATCTACATCTTGGATGCCCTGAGGGTGAACACATTTTCAGCAAATTTTTATTTTTGGAGAACTATTCCTTTAAAAGGGAGAAGATCGTCTGACCAGCATGTTATATGTTCTGCTCGTGGTTATCTAGTTTACTTGCCACTAAATTCCTTAAAAACTCTCAGAACTTTTTGAACTTTACCAAACCCACTGCTTTAGTTCTAAGTTCTTGTTCTCATAAGTTCTCAACCTGGTACCTTGTAAAGACAATTTTGTATGCAGGTGAGCTTATGCACTGTGTTTTTCTGTACAACCCAGCCATTACGACTGTAACAGCCAATTTTCTGCTAAAACCTTTTGCTTTTGTGTAATATGCATTGGATGCCAAGCCAAAATTACTGTTGTTGTTGACAGAGACTCCATGAAGCACGCCACAAAAGAATCGCATTTCAAAGCCTGAGAGATTTTAATGCAGAATCTGCAATACTTTCATTTACATAAGGAATGACATTAACAATCTATCTCATCCTCTAGCCTGACAGGAGCATTTTTGGACAAACATTGATAAAGCCCTGCTCGGTTGGGGTGAGACGACACCACAGACGGATGCATTTCGGTTCCCCTGATGCAGTGCTTTGGAGAATGTGCCATCTTCAGAGCTTTCCCGGAAACGTTCCATCTTCCCTCTGGCTGTCCCATTTCTCGATCTGAGCAAAACACCAAAATGTTGAGAGTAAATTATCTTTATGCACAATTCTGATGCTTACATCGATATAGGGGATGAAGGAATATTTACCCAGGAAAGAGGACAGAGAGATTTGTAGACCCTCTTGTACCAGTCACATGGAGCTGTGTCGACACCTTTGGCATCCAGAGCTTTTTGGCAGCGATAATAATCTGTACATAAAATAAATAGATTCTCATAGATTACTATGTTTTTTTTGGACATGGTATCATAGTATTTCTAAAAGGTGAATTGCCAAAAAAAAAAATTCTATTTCACATTACTCGCCGAAAAAAAAATTTTAGGAGGAAAATATTTATTAATATAAAAATGAATTTTTTTTTATTTTAGGGTGAACATTTACTGTTTTTACTATGTATATAATTTATTTTTAACATATTTGGGGTAACATGTTTCTGAAAGTCTCACCAAGGCTGCATTATTTGATTAAAAATACTAAATTTGAATAAATAAAAAATAATGAAGTAAAGTATTTTCAGGATTATTTGATGAACAGAAAGTTCAAAGTATAAGGATTTGAAATAGAAGTCATTTGTAACATTATAAATGTCTTTACTGTCACTTGTGATCAATTTAATGCGTTCTTACTAGGGCTGTAAAATCGATTAATCGTGATTAATCGCATCCAAAATAAAAGCTTGTGTTTGCATAATATGTGTGTATTGTGTATATTTATATGTATATATAAATACACGCAAATACACACACACACACATATATATGTATATATATATATATATATATATTAAATATATACATAAAAATAAATAAACATATGTTATGTAAATAAAACTTTAAAATAGTTGCGATTCAGAATTGCGAGGGGGGAAAAAGTATTTTGTGAGATAAACAAAGAATTGTGAGGGGGGAAAAACAAGATTTGCAATTACTGTTTTTGCTGTATTGAATGAATAAGCTTCCATGTTGCAAGTTCAATAGTGAACCAAAACATCGCGGTTGTCTAAGCAGGTGACCATAGCAACAGTAAACGGTGTATTCAAAAAGTTGTTAAAAAACGTTTCTAAAAAGACAATTCAAATTACTGACATTAATTCCTTTAAAATGTCGACCCACCTGACCGTCGTTCAATAGCTATGTTTCCATTACCCTATTTTAATGCGCATTTTGAAGTATCGCATGAGAAACTATGGAAATGCAGAATTTCTAATAAAAATCCCTTAATTCGCAAAAAAAGTTTTTACGCTCGCTTGAGGTGGTTCTTGACTTGTGTGAAAAAGGATTGATGCGAATAATGGGAGATAGAAATGCATTTTGCGAATAAATTCCTGGTCGCCGTGATTTTGCCAAGTAAGACATATTCCTGGATCAACATCTTTTGTTGATCCTGGATCAACATTACTGTCCAAAAATACAGACTTAACCCAATCCCTACCCCTAAACCTAACCCTACCCATAATTTATTCCTAAAATCAGTGTGAAATGATCAGTGTTGGGGAAAGTTGCTTTTAAAAGTAATGCATTACAATATTGCGTTACGCCCTAAAAAAGTAACGAATTACGTTACTTAGTTAGCGCGTTCATTATGTTTCGTCTACTCGCTCTGAGGCGCAAGTCATTTATTATTATATATGAAAATTATTATATTCTCCTACTTTTCTTAGTGATTTATAGTGCCAGTCAGAATTTTTTTTACAGTGTAGTGCTGTGATAAATGAAAGTATTTTGAATGTGAAGAGTTTTGGCATGCAGCTCAGATGGTATCAAATGGCAACACCAGAATGATGACCATATTCATAAAATGGTGGAGTGTTTGCATTACAAGTTAGTGAAAGGCACTATTTAAAGAATATACTTCGGAACATGTGTAGTACTAGTATAGCATGTCGTTACTGTGATAACATGTCAGTAGCATGTTTGTTGTGTTTGGGTGCACCACGGTACATGTGACATGTTTTAAACATGCATGCTATGTACACGTCAGCTTTAATGACGATGCATTTTATTTATTATTAAAAACAAACAATTTCACACGTTTTAATACGTTAATGCGGTGCATTGATTTTATTAAATATTAATAAAATACTGTTAGCAATTTTATTCATTCGTTTTTTAATGGTGCATAAATTGCATAATTGATTGTATTGGTTATTATAGCGTATTGAATGATATAACAGAAAAGGGAACAGAGGGAAAAAAATTACTATGCTGAAAGATTGGCTTATGAATATTAAGTTGGTATAATAAATAATCATAATAAATATTCATGAGCTAAGTGTAACCCTAAAATGCGTCTTAGATAAACATGAAATAAGAAGACAAAAAGAAATAACTGCATTAAGGACTGAAAAAACAATAGCACTGAAGGCATTCTATTTATTACACAGTGTAACAATGCAATCATTTAAGAGTATTCTCAAATAAAGACAGAAAATAGCATAAGCTACATTTTCGACCTGATCTACAGGTTTACAAACTCAGTGAATCTAAACCAGTTAATAATAAATCTCTAATTATAAATACATTGCATCAAAGTTAGCTGATGTTCTACACCTTCTTCACATGTATTCAATGCACAGTGTTTCATTTATTTGGGCTCCTTTAGATTGAAAGGCATGTTGTTTTGGTGCAGCTGATCGTCCTGATCGTCTGTGGATGTAGATGTTGCACAGAAAACCGAAGACGTCATAAAGCTCTGACTCGTCTATGATTGACTAAAGGTACAATTCTGCTCATTGGTTCAAACATCCACAACCCCACTTTAAATAAAACCCACATTTTGACAGTGTTGGGCAGTAACGCATTACTT